TTGTAAATACAACAACTCTCTTAGATTATGAAAATTATGAATGTAGTAGTATAATACATTTTTTACTAAATCGAAAATTGCTATTTTTATTTATTACCCACCGTACCTTTTATATGGTTTCATATAACACACAAGATACAATATTATAAATGTTCATTTATTTATTTCAAATTACAATAATATATAAGAATGACAGTGATTGTATTATTTATATGAAAATCAAAATAACAAATAATAGTAGTCTTATTTCGTTATTTTATTACTTTGGATAAATAACTGACCCTTACATAACAATATATGTGTACAGCTAGGAATGGGTCGTCTTCATCATCCCAATCTTTCAAACCTTGACTGCAGCAGTAACATAACATTTGATCATTTTGTCCATTACCTAAAAATTATATACACTTATAAATAAAGTATTTGAATAAATGTACGAATCATAAAAATATAAAAACGTCAGAACTCAACTGTAAACATGGATATATCCTCAAGCACTTCAAGCAACAAAACAATCCATGAAAGTTTTAACACATTCATAAAAATACATTTAATAATATATAGTCCCATACCTATGTATAAAAATCCAGCATCACAAAGTGTTGATATTTTTGATTCCAATTTTTTTGGACAGTTTTCAAAAGTCTTTAAACGAGTGTTATAATCGGCAAACTCTTTGTGTTTAGAGAATTTAATTCTAGGCTGCTGTTCATAAGACGTCGAACAGTAAAATACACAAACATCATATCCTGAATAAGAAGAATTGAAAAGTAATTTCACGTAGATAGTATCGCACCGTAACATACAGTTTTAATTTCTTACCTGAATTTTCACTGAGACGATTTTCATACGCTTTATACGTTTCATTTCCACTGTCCATTTTTGATCGAATACACATCGATACTAAACGTATAACCGAACAGCGTAAGTCGCAATCAGTGGAATGATTAAACTAAGCAAATTAATTTTGTGTGGACACTAAAGCTAGTAAAGTCACACATTGTAATAATTATATTACTATCTTGAAATTCATTAAAAAAAAAAAACATTATTAGTCTAATTTCGTTTTTCAGCTACTTTGTTTAAATAACATCCGTTGACATTTCAATGGCACACGTTCGTTCTACTGTTTCAATACGTTTTTCCAATATAAAAACACGATCATCGATTGCTATGTAATCTCGACCGAGCGCGTCCAAACGATTAGTTATTACAAACAAGTTATTTTTTAAATTGTCGATGTCATCCGCATCGTCGTATCCACTATCGCTGTCGCTACTGTTTATGATCTGATATCTGCTACTGTCAACGGTTTGTGTGAAATCCATTAAAATCAAAAAGATTGTTACAGTCGTTATGCAAAAAAATAATCCGATACGTGAAGCGTCCATCTGTTTAATATGCTCCCACAACGTTTTAATGGTTGTGCTGTCGCTGACACTGTCCATTGTGTTTATTGTATAAACGTACGGTCACTTCTTCAGGTCACTCGCAAATACGTGGTAAATATTTCGTGCGATTGACGTCCACCGCGGAAGGACACTACAATAATATTGCAGTCACAAGTGTTACCTTTGTTATAGATATGTCGCACTCATTAGTGTTGACGATAACACAAGTTTGTCTTATCCGGCGGTCGGTAGATAGGACAGGTCAGGGGGTTCAGCACCGAGAGACACGTCGGCGATTATGTAAACTAGTTCATCTGTGACTTACATCTGTCGTACGTGCCGTGTGATTTTTCATCAGCGCATAATTGTTTTTTTGTATTTCGCACCTCACTGTTTACCAGTTTTTATAATATTATTATAATTTAAATAAAGTTAATCGACTCCATAACTCGACGCGTACTATACGTACGTTGAACCGTTAGCGTGTAGGTACTCTGCAAAATGAACTTTTTTTTTTGACCAACCCGACTAACATATATATTATATAGTTGATATTGTGTAACGGGCCAGCTGTAGTAGGTTCGGGTATGACGTCATAGGGCTTACCTTGGGTCGGTGTTGAAGTCTGACGTCGGCTAGGGCTCCCCACCATAGCGCTTACCCTAATATCAAAGTTTAGGTATGACGTCACAGCGGCTTACCTTAGGTCAGGGTTCAATGATGTGACGTCGTCAACTAGGGGGATGACGTCACGAGCTGCACCTGGTTGCAGTCCCCACAAGCGCCAGGGCCGGGGGGTTACGGTAGGTCAGGTGTGACGTCACCATGACGGAATGTATCACCTGTGCACCCATTGTTATCCCGAGAACAATACATGACGTCATTTGTAGGCACCTTTGAGGGCCCGTACCCGCTATTTATATACTACTAATATTACATTTTACAATTAATTTAATTATTAGATTTATTTTATTACAATCGGATTGTGTACGCTCCCCTCGCTACGCTACGGTGTCGGTGTGATCGGGCTCTACGAAACGTCGGCACGAGCGCAGTTTCCCTAGCTCGGGGAATCGGGCGCGTCCTCAGGTTGCGGATAGAGGAACGGCCTGCAGATATGCAGGTTAGCCGCGAAATAAGCAGTCCATTAATTTGGACTGACGAATAAGCGGTCACGGACAGCGAGCCGCCCAAACGCATGTTAATCCTGTAGATATACAGGGTAGCCGTGAAATAAGCCTTTATGGACGAATAAGCGGTAGCGTTTGGGTGTGAACGGAGTTAAACGGCAACGCAACCAGTGAAGTTAGCCGCTCACTGGCCAGAGGGACTGGTTATGAGGGCAGCCCCCTCAAATCATATTTTATTTTATGAAATGGCATCGGACGGAGTAAAGGTTACTGCATCAGGGGAATCGGATGCCCCAGTGCCGGCGGTTGGTGGGGGGCTATACCCACCAGGTGTCGTCATCAAACGAATACGCACTAAATGCAGGAGTGTTGAGGCAGGCTCCAACCACGGGGTTGGTACTGCGACTGCAGGGAGTGGTGGTGACCAAGCAACTCTCACCGGTGAAATAGCCGGGAGGATATTGGCAACGGATTGCACGGATTGTATGGACTTGACGACGGCCACCTCCCTGGGTGCGTCTCTAAAACCCTCCATACTGGAGAGATTGCGAAGCGCGTCTAGGGGCGGTTCGCCGAGGGTAGGACCTTCGGGTCCTACCATTGGTGGTGTCAGTGAGGTGGAGGCGGCTGATCAGGGGGAGGACGATTCCTTGTGTTTGGATCGCAAGGAGATCTCCCCAACGATTAGCCCACCCACCATCATATTGGAGGATACCCCGCCCGGCGCGATTGTGCCCATGCCGGCGACTCCTCTGCCGGTCTTGGCCAAAAAGCCTAAGTTGGTGCCCCTGACTGCAGATGATCTCTTCAACGCTGACGGGACACCAAAGAGGGTGATTGGCCGGACCGTGACGCGGTCGCATTGCACTTCCGGCTTTACCGCTGGATGGCGACTGCGACACAGCTACCTCTCCTCGTCCGACAGGTCGCGCGACGCCGAGTGACCGCGGGTGACGCGAACCGGTCCAGGCCGCCGGCCACCAGATATACTTAATATTATTATCGTCGTTGAACCATATATTGTCTACTTCCTTTTGGAATGAATATTGTTGTTTTAAGTTCTTATATATAATAGTTAAAATATATGCTAACATAAAGTTTAATAACTGTGTTATTATTATTATTATTATTAAATTATCACCTAACCACAACAAGTTTAAAGAGAAACATAAACTCCCTTTATAAAATTGGCGCAGTCGGAATATTTTTTTTTGCAGACTAAGAAGTTATTAAGGTAAGTGCTAAATAATTAAAGCAATTATTATTTGTAGCACCCTTAATAAAATATTTGCAAAATAGAGAACCTACAGCTTTAACTGGCTAAAAGCGTAGTAAGTCCCAGAAAAAGAAATTTTTAAGACTTAATTAGCCATAAGCTTATTAATTTTTGGGGTTAAGGTGTATATAAGCTATATAGTTAGAGATAGACTTATTATACAGGAGAATTTCCTAACGTGGTTTGTGCTAAAAATATCTTATAGACAAGTCCACTTATCAGACAGCTGGTCACTGTCATATGACACGTATATGATGTTATGCGGGTACGTTGAGGATAATGCGAAGCGGAACGAGGAGCTGGAAGCAATAGTCGCCCAACAGCGCGAACACATTGCTCAGCTTGAGACAAAGTTGAACGACTTGATAAAGCAAGTCAACTTGTCTGCTTGCGAAGCACAGGGGGTACCTTGCAGTACCAACAGGGGAACTCTGCCGCCACACCACACGCTTAAGCGAGTTATAGCGGACAGACCCGAGAATTCACAACTCCGATCGGAAGGGGGTGAGCAGATGGCCGTCCCGGAAAATTCTGACCGAGCAGTTCGAGAGGACCCCCCATCCCCCCCACCGGAGCTTCGGACTGCAAATCAGTTCTCCGGTGAATTACGGGATACTTCGGCGCAACTATACAGTAGAAAACAGTTCTTCGGCGAAAAAATAAATTCGCCCCGTGAAAACGGCCGGTACCCCGGGTTACACCGACCGGGACCCCCCTACGCCGGTGAAAATTCTGTTTTCTTCGGTGGATTAGACCGGATTTCGGAAGAACAGTACCGAAACAGACAATTCTCCGGTGAAAGTTTTTGTTCTTCCGGTGTAAACAAAAATTCGGCCGGTGAAAGTAACCGGACGACCGAGGAACATCACCAGAACATACAGTTCTCCGGTGAAAATTCGAGTTCCTTCGGTCAGAAACACCACATTTTTGTTTCAAACCAAGGAATGACCGGTAATAACGGAGTAGAACGATCTGAAAGTCGTTCCCCTCCGGACAATAGGATCAGGGAGCAACGACACGTTACTTTTAACGAAACGTCGCTACTGTCCCACGACAGTCTAACGTTGGCGCGTGATTCTCTGCCGGAGTTTTCCGGAAAGAAACAAGAGGACCCCAACGCTTTCATCGAAGAGGCTGAAATGGTCCTAACCGAAGCGAACGTACCACACCAGAAGTGGGTACGTGTACTGTCCCCACAGTTAAAAGCAGAGGCAGGTAACTGGTGGGGTACTATACGCTGCTTGAACCCCACATGGACAGTGTTCCGACAACAATTTTTGAGGAGGTTCAATAGCATTGCTATACTTACCCAAGTACGCAATGATCTCCACAGTGCTCACCAAGGCGAACGTCAATCCCTAGGGGAGTTTGTAATGTGGAAGAGCCAGCTAGCCCGTCGTCTCGACTCAAGGCTCACAGAGTACGAGTTGGTCGACCTAATCATAGGGCTTATGCGCAGTGACTATCGGGTCCACGCAAGAGTGAGACGCCCGAGGTCAATGGAAGATCTGCTAGAGCTGGCTAGCGACTTGGACGTTGAGGACCTTTCTCCGGAACGGCGGCCCGAAGAAAAGAAGTATTCCGCGGAAGGGAATAGCTTCAAATGGGCAAATAAGAAACCGCCACCGGAGAAAGAGGTTATTAGACCGGAAAAAAGCCCGTCCGGAGCGGCACGTTGTAAAAACTGCAACCGGACTGGGCACTGGTGGGCGAATTGCCCGGAAAGAAAAACGGCGAGTACGGGAAACGGGAAGAGTTCCGGACGGTTCACGGGAAACCGACCGGACAAGAAAAACTAGCCCGCCCAAAGAACCGTAAGCGCAAGCCCGGTACCGAAGTTTCCGACCAGGAACCCAAAAAGGCACCGGAGAAGCGCAAAAATATGCAGCTCGCCGCTATCGAATCCGGAGAAACGGAGTACACACGGAAGAAACGTATGGAAAAAAGAGAAGTTTCGGAAACACAGGAGAGTAGTGCAAAACGTCCTGACCAAGGAACACAAGCGGCTCTCTCCGAGAACAGTTTGCCGAACAAATCTCTGGAAGACCTGGAACAAGACCAGTTAACACATGAGTTGTTAACAGTTCCACAGTCTTTCCCGTTAAAACTTCCGAAGGAGTTGACTCCTATCACTGGTATTGCGCGGAACCGAAGGAAATCTGATACGGACTCACTTTATGACCTCAGGGTCCGAGCCGCAGATTTATTTACCGGAGAAAACTTTCCTAGCAAACAGGGTTATTGTTCAGCGTCCGACCAGGACCCAAAATACAATAAGTTACCCGAGAAAAAGCTGGTGAAAGAAATCTCACAAGGTAATATTACCTCTTCTAACCCAAACACGAACGGTAAAAGAGCTACAACTACCGGAGCACCGAAAAAGTACGATGTGCCACTGCCGGCCATTGAACTTGAGTTTCCGACTAAAGTTGTGGTGGCTCTACTAGATTCACAAGCAACTGGATCTTATGTTTTACCGTGGGTAGCACATGAGTTTGGTAAACCAATAAAAGGAGAGCCGAGTATGGTCACATTGGCTGACAGCCGAACTTTGCAAGTTCATGAGTACGCGGAGTTCACAGCACAGGTGTCTGACATTGAAGTTCAATTCAGAGCCGCGGTACTCGACCATCTTATCGGTGACGTGTTACTGGGCCATGACTTCTTGGTGAAACAAGAAGTGGCATGGGACTACCGAGCATGTACAATCCACATGGGTACAGAAAGAAGAGCGACGGTATGCTGGAGAAAACCGACAATCAAACGGGAAACCGAACCGAAGATGGTTATCCCGGAAGGGGAGTTTCCGGAAGATGTCCGGTTAATATTACTCAAGTACCCGAAGGTTTTCTCCGGAGAAGTCGGGAGGACCCGAGTCATTGAACATGACATCCGGTTAAAAGAGAAAACTCCGGCTACTTTAAACGCATATCCTTATAATCGTGAAAAACAGGATACCATCACACGTATGGTGCGAGAAATGGAGGAGCAAGGTTTTGTAGAACCTAGAACCTCGCCATGGGCAGCTCCCGTAGTTCTTGCCAAGAAAAAAGATGGATCCCAGCGATTATGCGTGGATTACCGGAGACTGAATCTCCAAACAGAATCCGACGCACATCCAATGCCTGACTTACACGAAATGGTCCGTGGAATGGGTGGCGCTAACGTCTTCAGCACCATCGACCTTAAGTCTGGCTATTGGCAGGTCAGTTTGACTCAGGAGTCAAGACCACTCACCGCATTCCGCACACAAATGGGCCTCTACCAATTTAAAGTAATGCCCTTTGGCCTTAAAAACGCCCCGGCTACTTTTCAACGATTGATNCTTAAAAACGCCCCGGCTACTTTTCAACGGTTGGTAAACGAGGTTATGCGTGGATATGTCGGTAAATTTGTGTTTGTGTACCTAGACGATATCGTGGTGTACTCGGTGAATATGAAGAAACACCTCAACCACATACAACGAGTCTTGGAACGGTTACAAACACATGGGTTGACAATTCAACCGAAAAAATGCAGTTTCGGTGTAAACCGTATAAATTTCCTCGGACACATAGTTGATTCGACGGGAATTGACCGGGAACCGGAGAAACTAACTGCAATCGCCGAATTCCCCGTACCGAAGAAAGTCAATGATTTACAAAAGTTCCTCGGAGTATGCGGTTAGTACAGTCAGTTCGTGTCGAAATACACCGAACTTACCGCTCCGCTGACTAATCTTTTGGCACATGGAATTAAGTGGCGATGGACGGTACAAGAGCAAGACGCTTTCCAAAAGCTTAAAGAAGCACTT